CGAAGGGTTTAAATCTCTGAGCTTTTAATCAAACGTTAATTGAATTCGCATAAAATAGAAAATAAATTATAAGCAAATTCAAAATTTTGGGCCTAGAGTGCACATATTCGAGTGGAGAACTATTTATGTCCGAAATTTGTCGGTTCTGTATGCCTCTGTTTTTCCACAGTGCGAGAAACATACATACATACATTTTTCTCCCTCCTTTCTGTATGCCTTCGTGGTGTAACGGTAGCACACTCGGAGCGTATTCGAGAGGTCCACGTTCGAGTCCCGTCGAGGGCATTGCTCATTTTTCACGTATCCTGCTTCAAAATAACCTCATGATTCTGCAAATGGTAACAATGATCTCAAGAATTAAGTTTAAGAGTCGATGATTATTCAATGGCGTTTATTTGTACGTGTAAGCAAACTGAACTGTTTCAGGAACAATTTATTTTTTTAACCCAGGTGTGAAGCGAATCATTGAAGGCGCGATTTATTAAGAGTTAGAAGATTTGATTTTCAAGTTAAATGAGAAAATCGAGAAGTTTCTTACTCCCTCCATAGTTCTTCATATGGTAATTGCTTTGAAAAATGCATATATCTTATTATATCTCGAAAGACTGCACATGAAAACATGGCTCCGAATATAACGAAAAAAATAAATTTTTCAATGTGGTTTTTAGTCACAGCGCATGTTTCGGTAAAAATGCATAAAACTTTAAATTCTATACGGACCTCGTAGAAATGTGTCTGTAGCACAAATGTTTTTATTAGCTGAATTAGTCAAAAAGTGTCATATAATCAAAATTATTCGATTTCTAACTGATTAGAATTTTTTGAAACCTTCTGTAAAATTATTAAAATTGACGACACATGCATTTCTTTTATCAGCATCAGCATCAGTACAAAACCTCAGTTATACTTTCCTTACTAATCAGAATTTAACAGTAACTTAGCAGACTGCTAGTATATAAATTTTAATTTTACGTGATTACACTAGATGTCATACGACCGCATTGTCTTATCTTCAAAACTTATCTTATTTGATTTATTTCTCGAAACATAGCCATAGCTCTACAATCAAAATAGAAGATTTTTATTCAAAGAAATATTTAATTTGGAAATCTTATTTAATTCTCCGTATATAATTCTGTATTCTGCTTTATAAACTTCCCTGTCACCGGCAGCGAAATATCGTGTGTTTAAATCTAAAAATTCCTGTTATAAAGTAAACCTTATTTTCCGAGAATGTAAGTTGCAGTAAGAGAAGAGTGTATTTGTTTTACAGAATTAACAAAATCTAGTGCCTGAATTGAAATTTTAGTTCTCAGATCATAGCTATTAACTAATTATGAAATGATCTTCGTTACTATTTGAAGCATTAGCTTATTAAAAACCTAACAACCATTAAAGTTAATTAAAAGAGTTAGAAATATATGCAAGTAATTATGAACTGGAGAATTTATTCTGTAAAAAGAAGAAACTCAAGAATTCGGCATTTGGAAAGTGTCCAAGACAGACAATTTATTACACACGCGAATCAAGTTACTTCTTATTTTCTTACGGTGTTACTTGTTTTATGCAGTATATGGTTAATTAGCTTTTAAAACCTCAACAGATTAATTTTAATCATCTTTTTTTTTTTTTTTTTTTTTTTTTTTTTTTTTTTTGTTTGTTTGTTTGTAAAGTCAACTTCTTCTTTCAGACGATGAGACGAAAAGTATGCATCCAATACAGGATACTGTTTTCTTATTCTGCAGAAATAAAAATGAATCTCATTTCAAATGATTATTTGATGATGCACATAATCCTCCATCCGAATATTTGCAGCTTGAAGCACGAATTTTGAATTTGTTTTTTTATTATTATTATTAGCTCAAAGGGCAATAGCTCAGAAAGTCTATTAAAATTTCGTTTTGGCATTTGCGTCGAAAACTTTAAATGCCCGTTTCACTTTTCAATCTGTTGCCACCAAATTTTAGAGTCCTGCATTATATTTAAAGAAATTAAATAATGAAGAATCTGCATAAATGTAGCTATGTTTCTCGCATTGTGATAAAACAACGGTACCTAGAGCCATGTAGCTTTGAATAGCGTAATCCTCCGACGAATATGGGCGTATGGAAGCCTAATTTGGAATTTGTTCAATTATCGATTTCATATTTTGTATCACTTAACGAATTTTTGATTAGCAAACTCAACGATTTCAAAGCGAGCAATGGCAACACTGTACGAAAAAAAAATATTTTTATCTCTAACGAAAGAGACTGTGTACCGGAAATTCTGAAGATATGCTCATTTTAAAATTATTCTGTGATATTGCTGTCAAATGGAATTTTATGGTTTAAGTGCGAAGAACATCATATTTAATAAATAAAGATAACACACAAAACGTTAAAAAAAGTCCTTTTGTGCGTAATGTAAAATCTGAAGGCTTTCAGATATTTTTTTAATTTCATACTTCGTAGAATCAATTAAATTTCTGATTAACAAACTCGCCGATTTAAAACTGAGCAGTGGCCAAAACGTAAAATATTTAACTTTCAACTTTAAACAACAAACTTGCTATTTCAAATTAAAATACTTTTATATTCCGCTTGCCGCGTGTTGCCATTCAGTATATCATAAGCTTTTAACTTTCAAATTTAATCAATCTATTATTGATCAACAAACTAAACAGTTTAAAAACAATAAACGCAGTTTCTAAGAATGTTTTTGTACTTTTTAATCTGATTTATTTAAATCAAAATGTACTAAATCATGAAATATCTAATCAGAAATATAAAATACTTTGATGAAATTACACCAGCTGAACTTAATTAATTATTATATATCTTTTCAGCTTTATAATTACTATTTTAGCCTGTTAATCGCGCAAGGGACTGGTATTAAAATACCAAAGGTAAAAAACAGCACAATTGAGAATACAATGAAAATGGCTCTGCAAAGAACAGGTGAGCAGAAAAAGAGAGTTTGATGGGAGAATTATTACTTTTAAACATTTTAGCTCTTTGAGCGTTGTTATTTACAAGAAAGAAAATAATAACTTATGCTAACATATAAATGTAAAATGATTGACAAAATGATTATTATGTCAATCATTTTAACGTCTGTATTGTATAAAATTTTATAATTTTCTTACAAATATTTATAAATCTAAAATTCTATTTTAGATGCTCCATGGACCATTTTTGTCATTCGCAGAGATTTCTATTCTTTTTGCTTTTGAATGTGAAAGATGAAATAATAACAGTTACACATACTTATCTGTTAAAAGCAAGAGTATTGAAATATTTAAAATTATCATTGTTTAAAAACGAAACTCAACTGAAGTTTTTTTCAGGACTGAAGCTTTACTTTTCCTGGAGTCATTTGCTAAGTAAGATTTCAATATTTTAACTTTATGATGGCCACTTACTATAGAATTCAAAATGGTACAGTTATAGAAAAGCACTGTTGTATTTTAAGTATAATCAAAAGTACGTAAAAACCTTATTCTGATGAGTTATATACACTGCTCGACATTGAAAATGCAACATCAAGAAGGAGTGGTCAGAACTTTATGCAAATATTAGAGTAGACGCACGTTAGAGTTATGCGAATGATGTGAAATGCGCAGCTTTCCGACGCACGTGAAGTAAGATATAAGGGAAGGAATGGGAATGGGCAATATTCGTGTCGTTATTTCTGCCAGACGAATTATCGAAGAAATTTGGTTTTTGTCCCGGATGATACGTGTAACAGGAGAGAATGCCAGGCCGCCGTCAACGAAGGCACTTCCAGCAGATAGACGATTTTACGAGGGGTAAGGTGATCGGACTGAGAAAGGCGGGTTGGTTCTTACGTTAAATCGCAGCTGATACCCACATGGATGCGAGCACGGTGCATCGGCTATGGCGAACGTGGTTGGAACAAGGAAATGTGGGAAGAAGGAGGGGTGCAGGTTCAGCCAGAGTGACATCAGCGCGTGTGGATCGACGCATCCGCCGACAAGCTGTGGCGGTCCCGCAAATCACTTGTACCGCGATTCTGCAGCATGTGAAAGATACCCTGGATGTTCTTGTGTCGACCAGAACCATTTCCCGTCGATTGGTTGAACATGGCCTGCACTCACAGCATCCGTTAAGAAGACTGTCATTGACCCCACAGCATAGACGCCAAAGTTTAGACTGGTGCCGGACTGGAGCGATGTGGATGACAGAATGGCGAAATGTCGTGTTCTCAGATGAGTCACGCTTCTGTTTATCCAGTGACAGTCGCCGCATACCTGTGTGGCGTCGACGTGGAGTCAGATCTAATCCGGCAGTAGCTGTGGAACGCCTCACCGCGCTGCAACGTGGCATAGATGGTTTAGGGCGCTATTGCCTGCGATTCCAGGTCACCTCTAGTTCGTATTCACGGCACTATGACGGCCCAACGATACTTGGATAATGTACTGCGGCGGTTGGCAGTCCCCCTATATTCAGGGGCTGCCTAATGCAATTTTTCAGCAGGATAACGCCTGACCACACAATGCTCGCATCTGCCAACATGCTCTGTAAGGTATACAGATGCTTTCCTGGCCACCGTACTCTCCTGACCTGTCACCAATCAAACATGTGTAGGATGTGATTGGACGCCGTTTGCAGACTCTGCCCCTGCCTCGTTCATATCACGAACTGTGGCAAATGGTTGAAAGGGAATGGAGAGCCATCTCTCAGGACACCATCCGCACTCTTATTAACTTTATGCCTAGACGTGTTTCTTCGTGCATCGTTGTCCCCGGTGGTCCTACATGCTACTGAGCCGACGCCATTCTCTTTCTTCTGACTATCATTTTGAAATAAAGATCACTTATTGTTTCTTGCTGTCTCTGCCTTTTTTCAAAATTTCATCACATTCTGACCACTCCTTCTTGGTGTTGCATTTTCAATGTCGAGCAGTGTATAATTAATTTATTTACGTATAGTATTGCTGCACATTTTATAGAACTAAAATTCTGTTACATACAAAGAAGAAGGAATTTTGTTACTTACATCCAAACTTAAGTTCACATTTCGAAGATCATACATTTCCACAAGTGATGAGCCTGTGAATTATGAATTCCACATTCAGAGAAATAAAATAAATTTAATAATTTATAGTTTGCAATGCTTAATTCCAAACAAATTCCAAATAACAAATGCTTTAATTCCAAACCATTTATTCACGCAGTGATGCTATTTTCATTCCAGTGCCAGATTTCGTGATTAACTTGCTAAATTTAATAAAATTCCAGCACGCATTTCCATAAGAATGAAAAAATGTTTTTAATTAATTAAGAAAACTGAAACATTATTTTACAAAATTCAAAGAATTTTTCTGAAACAGAGCAAACAAATTTTAAGTTTAAATTTTTCGTGCTTTTAAAAACAGAGTTTGATAACTCACTGTTACATTTCTCCTCTAACAGAAGTCAGAAATTAAAGTTATTTCAATACAACCTCACCCAAACGACTCTTATTGTTGTAACGAAGCAGAAACATAAATCACAAATGACTCTTTGCTTGTAATTTTATCAGACTTAATAATAAGCTATCAATTTCATTTAAATTTCTTACGATATTCATTCGTGAAAACGCTAAGAATGAGAATAATAAAATTTATGCGGTGTAAAAAAGCCGATCCTAATTTTATTCTTTTAACATGAAACCGAACGAAATATCTAATCCATCATTGTTTAAATAAAGGAAATAGAAAGCTTCTGGAATATCTTTCAATCTGGAAACATGATTTCCTGTGCAGCTGTTTTATTTTATGCTTTATTTTGAATAAATTTCGAATTAAAAGGACTCCTTTGTTCTAGCTTTCTTACTTTGTACAATTTGCTTTAATTTTTAAGAACATGAAAAGTGCTTGATGATCATTTCGCCTTTTTTCAATAAAATTAATTCATTTAGAAGTTAAAATTCTGAATACTTCGCAAATAGAGCAGAAATGATTTTTCATTAATTTATCTCCGATTTTATTCATTTTAGGTTGCTTTATTTGTTCTGATAAAACAAGCAGTAGAACTGCTACTGCATTTTTTAGTTACTATCATTAATATTTGCAATTTAAATCCTCAGAATTTTAACAAAAGTATTATGGAAAATGAAGCACAGTTTTCCCTTGCGGTTTTTCTTCAGCGCTCTATATGTGAACAGACAATTCGCTTAAGCTAAACAGAGAAATTCTAGAAATGTCATTTTTATATAATAAATGCTATCAGTTATTAATTATTTGTTCTCAGATTGGAAAATAAATAGAAATGTCAGAATAAATGTCACTTCTGATTTATGTGGTGTCTTTAATCTTACAAAATTATTTGTCATAATGTATGAATATAAATTGGGTGAAAAGCTGTTTAATATTTTATTTTAAAAGTTTCTTCTTCTGCAAGTAAGGAGAATTGCGAAGTGCTTTCCATGTTTGTTAATTATCACTAAGACCTTTTAGCTTTAATTTTTCTGTTTTCCTAATATTGATGTTTGTTGCCCAAGGTGAAAGAAGTAAAGTTTTTAAAAATCATCTGTGTAAACAGTCTTTATTAACTCAGCTAAATAAACAGAAGAAAAGCTCATAAATTTTACTTAAGGAATACTTGCATAACAACCATGCGATATCTAACACTTGCACTGTTTCCTGGAACAAATTCGCATTTTGGAGACATTAAAAAGGTTGAATACCCATTTTTTTAGTCTAGCTATGAAGATCGATTGCTTATATTTCCTGGAACTTGTTTGTTATCTGCTTGTTTCTTGGATCTGTAAATCTTGATCTGTAAATCTTGGATCTGTAAATTTCTTGGATCTGCCTTGAAAGTAGGCATTCTATAGAATACCTACTTTGTCTTTGAGCTAAAACGCAAAAACATTCTGATAATTTCTATTTGAAATAATGACAGTATACGAAGGATTATTTAGTGATTAATATTCGACGCAAATGTAGTTTCATTAGGTATTATGAAGAGCAGAACGTATTTTGGTCAAGTGCAATGTAGGCTAGAAATTACTAAGGTTACTGCAAAGGGTTTTTCCTCCACCAACAGAACCATTTTTTGCCCTAGGTGCAAAGCTTTGTTTTGAAATAGGAAAAATAAGTTTGGGTTTGGTTTTTGGTTTTGGGGGAGGGGTACAAGAAAGTTTTAATCTTCTGGCTTAAGAAACGCAAATATGCTTATAATAAGGACCATTATATATTTGTTTCACTATCAGAATGAGCGTACTATTGTGGGGCACGCATTTGTTATGAAATTATAGATTAAGATGGCTTAGTAAAGATGTTTGGGAAAGAAAACGCAAAACAAAAGTTATGTTGTAGAAACATTAGGTGTTGTTTTTTGAAAGCAGAAAAGAAGAAAAATAGCAAACGCCTTCGCCGGGAATCGAACCACCGACCTCTGGAATACCGGCTCAGCTTGAAGAACCACTACACCACGAAGGACGCTAGGAAAGTGGGAGAAATACCCCATAATGTTACCAGATTCGGAAAAATTCGAAATTATGAATAGTTTTTTGTATCAACAAAGACAGACACTTTCTTCGGTAACCGAGTAATCTTTACAGACATCCTCCAATTTGACCCTTTTCGAAATTTTGTATTTGTATTTGTAATGTGTGGAAATAGAAATATGTAAGACTCTTCATAAAACTTAGACAGTAACTTCAGTGAAGCAACCTGGATAATTTCTGAGGCATGCTGAAGAAGAAATATAATAGCATGGAGAATCCCGTTCGAGTGTTCTTAGATGTCAGTAACTTATATACTACCTGACATTGAAAATGCAACATGAAGAAGGAGTGGCCGAAAATTATGCAAGTTTCAGAGCAGACGCACGTCACCGAGTTATGCTAATGATGTGAATTGTGCAGCTCTCCATCGCACGTTGAATAAGATATAAGGAAAGGAACCTGCAGAAGGTTCAATTTTCGTGCCGTCATTTCTGCTAGAAAAATCATCGTAGAAAATTTGTTCTTGTCTCAGAGAACGCGTGTAATAGCAGAGAACGTCAAGTCGTCGTCAGCGGAGGCAGTTCCAGCAACGAGGGACATGGTAATGGGACTGAGAAGGGCAGGTTCGTCCGTACGGCAAATCTCAGTTGATCGTATTCAGGGCACTATGACGGCCCAAAGATGGATGAGGTGCTACCGGCTGGTGACACTCCCTTATCTTCAGCAAGTGCCCAATGCTCTGTATCTGTAAGATAACGCCTGACCACACACTGCTCGCATCGGCCAACGTTTTTTGTAAGGTATGCAGGTGTTTCCCTGGATACCGTTCTCTTCTGATCGCTCACCAATCGAACACATTAGGGATGTGATTGGACTCTATATGCATACCCTGCCATTGCTGCTTTCAGAAGATGAACTGTGGCAAATGGTTGATATGGAATGGAGAGCCTTTCCTCAGGACAACCCCGTAGTCTTGTTGATTCGTACTTAGACGTGTTGCTTCGTGTATCGCCTTCCAAGCTGGTCCTACAACCTACTAAGCCGACGCTCTTCTCCCTTTGTATAATGTATGTTATTTTGAAGTAAAGATCACTTATTGTTCGTTGCCGTCTCTCTCTGTTTGACGTGTTTTATTACTTTATGACCACTCCTTCTCGGTGTTGCATTTTCAATGTCGGGTAGTGTATTTTCAGCACTTTTTTGACTGATTCTACATTTCATCGTACTAGAGTTCATTGTGAACTAAATGCCGTGTCCATTAAAGAATGTTTCAGATTATGGTTGATCTTTGATGGGGGTCCCCAACCCTTTGAAATACTGTATATTTTCAGTCGGGAGCCAGATATCCGGATTTCAACCAATATTCAAATTCAGAACCCTCTCTTTGCATTACAGGCACTCCACAACTGGCTACGTGAAGTTTGATTACTATCATCGGATCATTTCTATAATAGTTTCCAAAAATCAAGTAACAAAAGGAAAGTTGATGATAACTCAAAATGTGTGCAAGCAAAGTGGGAGAAACCTTCTGATAATAGTTATTGTACCTCTTGTAACTTAATATTAAACAGAATATTTACATATTGTGATATCAATATCAGCATAAAATCCCCTAAATTCAGACATACAAATTAATTACAGAAAGTTTCTTATTAGAGAGTTTGGTCATCCCGAACAGGAATGCAGGCCTGACAGCATTGTATTGTGCTATTTATGATATTATCAAAGAAATGCAAGAATATGAATGCCCATTGATTGCGTAAAGCAAATCTAAACGTATCTAAAGTTTGGGAAGGAAATTAGATTACAGTAACACGCCACCTGAGAGCGTCTTGGAGATTAAGATTAAGGCTGAGAGAGCTTCCTGGGCCTTCAATTTGTAGCATAGTTTCTTCTTTAATAAATTGGTGAGTAGTGTGAGGAGGGGCATTATCTGCTTGCAAAATGAAGATGCTGCCGATTACGGAAGTATGCCGAAAAACACTATAAAACCCAGTATGTCGTCTTTGTACTGCCGGAGACTCAGAGTTCCGTGTGACAGCACATAAATTGCGCGCCCACCTAAAGATTCTCCTCTCCGTACAAGAACACTACCTCTTACGTCGATATCTTTTTCTCGTATTTTAGAATGAAGATGTCAAGTATTTGCTTCTCTGTGTATGGTAAATGCGTCAAGAATCAATCTGCAAAACTAAGCGGGGCTGATCAGTGAACAGAACTGATCTCCACCAATTTTTAGTCCAGTTGTAAGATCTATCTCTACTTGTCCACATACACTTAGATTCTACAATGAACCTGGCGAATTCTCGCACAGGCGTCTAAGAGATGGACTCTCAGAAATCTAACCGGCGTGATACTAAACGGATATGGCGAAGAGGCTTACTAGCGTGACCGCGAAATAACAACGAAACGTGCGCTAGGCTAGCGAAATACGCTCTGAATAAACTGAGATAATCACACGTTTAAATAGCACTTCACTTAACTTTAAATTTACATCCTGGCGAGAGAATGTGAGGGAAAGTTTGATAAGTTGAGAACAGGAAAACTTAAAATAAATTTGTTATGCAAATTAAAAAAACCCTACAATGTTTACATCAATACGTGCCCAATTTAAACG